TTTGGGCTTATTTGGGTGCATGCGGAACAGCTCAGGAAAAGTAGCTGCTTCATTCATTTTCATTGGTGCCCTCTGTAATAAAAATGTGCATATTGTAAGCCACGGTATGGATACGATGCTAGCAGTTGGTGAGATACGAGATGGTGAGCCATAGATTCACTACAGTATCTGTGGCAGCAGGTTTCTCTAAACGTGTGTGGACTGTGAGTGGAGTGATGAATAGAAAACCTGTTGTTGTTGGGAGATGAAGGGATTGTAGGTCGCTTTGATCGGAGAGTTTCGGTGTTTTGAGGTTGTGCTTCACACACTCTGACCACCTGGATGCCTCATTTTAAAAATGTGAATCTTCAACCTGCCGTACGCTCCGACTCCTTTATGTTTATAAAGTCAGGAGTTAATGAGGCCGTGTTCATATATATACAGGGTGACAACACACAACCACTGAATTGAAAGCAAGGCAGGTCTGTGGTTCAGTCTCTGAACATCTGAGAATTGATTAGAACCAATAATTAATCAGAATTTACTCCGATGGCTGCCAGTGCTCCATATGTCCGGCTAGACTTCTCTTCAGTGAACAATCTTGCCGCCATATTTGGTTGGTTTAAGGAAATTTGGGGTTAAAGATGTAATTAACAGTTCAATTGTGGTTCAAACATCAGTTGTAATCTCGTTAACATGAACCGCTTGAACATGTGAATATTTGTTTCTGTATCGCTGAGAAAACAACTTAATTAACATTTACTAAACTGCAGAATTAACTATGACCCAAACCAGACTTATCAAACTGAGAGACAGACAATTTCCCTGAGGTAGCCGACCAAAGGGATCAATAAAGTTTTATCTAATCTAATTTAAACAAGAGAACATTTGTAACTTTATTTTATAGAAATAATATAGAAAATAAACAGGTGCTAATGGGATTTTTCACCAGAATGTGTTGGTGTGTGTAACTTATCCATAAAGAAACTGACTCATTAGCATAACGAAGCCTCTAATTTGTGTCGTTTTAAGAACAAGTATCCGACATTTTTAGCCAGATGAGCTCCTAAACCTGATGTTTGCTCTTTTATGATTCATAACAATTTGTAACTGATTATTAATGAAGCCATTAATTTTTATGCTCTATTTAATCGTGCAATATTTTTATTAAGATAAGCTCCCAAGCCTGTCTATGATTATGTCTCAGTTTAAAAATAAAAAATGGTTGCAGCCATATTTAGGACTACGTTCTTCTAAGGAAACCTTTAGGGATTATATATTGTGAATTAAACATTAATAAATCATGAATTTATGGCTAATAGATCAGCTATAAGCCACTCTTTCACTACCAACACTTACAACTGCAGATCCAAAACTAGATTTAATGACTTATTAAACTGGGAAATCCTAGAAAAATTTATTTACAAGCACAGATCTAAATAATTATGACTAAAAAAAAACACGTAGTAGTTTATTAAACTGAGACACCAGTGGCCAGGTGAAGATGTTATTAAGAATTATTAAGGCTATTAAGAATTGCAAATAAAAAGCAGATAACGGGATTTATTTGTTTGTTTTTGTACTCAGTTTTAACCCAGAACTGATCTACTGACACAGCAGCTTTAAAGCTTTTGCTTTCTTTAGAAACAGTAAAACAGGTGTCCAGTATTTTTTTAGTAAGACCAGCTCCCAAACTACTGTGTATACGTACAGATTTTACTTTCCGTTTACTGAACAGGATGCAGACACTTTATTCTGTTCTCATGAGGAAACCTGTGGGGATAAAAGGGTGTAATTGGTAGTTAAAACATCCTTTTTTATGGCTCATATAACTCATTACCAACCTGAGGACTACAGATCTGTTGTCAGCCCTTTCAAAACTGCAGATTTAACAAATTATGATGAAAAAAACCCACATTTTTTTTTATTTTTTCCTTTATTTCGAACCAAAACAACAAAAGTCAACATTTGATGCACAAAATCAAAGTCTGACAGTTCGAAAAGGGTTTTGAAGAATTTGAAAATATTTATACCAAAACCTTTATGACAATAATAACTTACATTTTGACACTTTCACAGTGGTAACACCTTCTCAAAATAAATCATAATACATCTGTACTATTGCTTTTCATAAGTCTCATTAATAGCAGCATATGTTTTAATGATACCATCTTTTATCATCTGTTTAAATGTTGTTTGACATGTTTGCAGCTGTTCCATAACTGAACCTCAACAGCTTGTTAAACTGAGAAACCAGCGGCCAGGCGAACAATTTATAACTTCATTATTTAGAAATAGAAGAAAAAAAAACAGCTGCTGATAGGATTTTTCACCCATATTTGCTCTTTTCTGACATCCTTAAAGATGTACAACTGATTTAATAATCATAACAAAGCCTTTTTTTTAATATAAAAGAGGCCTTTTCCAATATTCCCAGTCAGATAAGCTCCCAAGCCTGCCTATGCTTATCTCACACAGCTACATATACGAAACACAGCGTTTTGCTCCGTGACCTTTGCGTGATAAATGGATGCTGGATGTGATATTATCCTGCAAAAGGTGTCACTTTTTATCATAGGAGCAGTAGCAGGTAGCACCGGGCACTTGGCACCGAGCACCTATGTGAGAGTCAGGAGGAGGAAGAGGAGGAAGGAGGAAGCAGGAGGAGGAGGAGGAGGAGGAGGAGGAGGAGAGCTGCTCTCTGCTGTCCTCTCGTTTCACTGTTCACTGGCGCTGCTGTGACGATAAGCAGGCAGCGGACGAGGATGCTCTGTTGTCTGGTGCGCACTCTCTGCTGTCTCCAGCTCTCCACAGTCACCATGGAAGAGCTCCTCTAACGCACAGCCTCCCTCCGTGTGTCTCTCCCAGCCTGCTCGCCGGGAGGGGGGAAACCGATGAATTATAACCCGCCGCTCGGCACCGGGACCTGCGTTTGTTGCTCTATTTCCGCCCTCCGACGCTCTGGAGCCGCGTTAGCGAGCGGAGAGGACCGCGGCTGAACCCTGAAGTCTCCAGAATAAAAAAGGTACCGAAGTTAGCCTCTTAGCATAGCTGCGTTTTCCTGCATGATGCCTTTGATTTTTTTTTCCCTCCTCTCTCTCTCTCTCTCTCTCTCTCTCTCTCATTATTGTCAGCAGTTCACTAATGGCCACTTTGCTCTCGACGCTGGTGGCTTCAGAGGAGGCTCATACACAGATAAATAGAATAGCGCACCTCCAGGGCTCGCACCTTCCGCCTGTCATCATGTGGACCGTCCACTGTATTAGCTCCCTGATTGAGGTTTGTTGGGAAAACGTTGCCAGCTGTTTTTTTTTTCCTTCTCGAGGACCATCTGACGGCTGCTCAATTTTCACTATACGAGCGCTCAGAGTCAATCAGCCTGTCATTCTCCATCCTTTTCTTTTTGGAGAGGGGGGGGATTTGTCTTACCTTGTCCAAGGAGAAACGTGAGGACGCTTGATGATGGTTTATTTTGTCACGAATCGCTCATGGAAACGTCAGTGTTGATTTGCATCACGGCCCGACCATGTCGATGCAGCAGTGAAATTAATATTCCAACAAAAAAAAAAAAGAAAAAAAGAGGGGGGGCATTTAATACGCATATTGTTCCCACACTGAGCCCTGCACTAGCCTTGGCTACCAGAAAGGAGACAGAAGCGCAGCAGCACAAAGGAGATGTTTAAAAAAATAAAAAAGGAAAAAACAAAGAGCTACCAGCCTGAATCCACCTCTCACAGTCATTACAACAATAACACTCATCACATGTTGTATTGTTTTAACCCTCCTGTGCAATAAGAAGATGAATTCTTCTTGGAGCATCACTGCAATGTGACCTTTTCTGTTTCTTCCTCTGCGGGGCCTGCTCGCAGTTCAAGGACTTACACAACTGATGTGACCAAGTGATGCCTGAGAGTGGCAGCTCGGGATTCACAGGCTGCATTTGCTCCTGTTTTGGCTCTAACTGCATGTCACCTGCTTTTATTATTATTATTATTATTATTATTGCCTTGATGAATGTGCTCAGTGTGGGGCAGTGACAACCTGCCATGTTTGTTGTAGTTTTAGGAAGGAGCTGAGGGATATTTCACTGCCTTTCACATTTTCCGGCATCATGAAATCTGTTTTTTTGCAGCTCTGTGTCTCTCAGCACACCAGTGGAGTTCACAATAAGACACGGAGGCTTTATTCTGCTTTGACGTTAGCTGTGTTTGGTTCACATATTGCTGAGTTAAACTGCCAAACTTCTGGTGTAGTCCCAAACATGAACTGTAGGCCCGTATGTTGACTATGAGCCCATAAGGAGCAGCTACCAGACTGTTTATCTGCATCTACATTGCATAAATGTCACAGCTTCAACTTGATTGTAAGTTAAGGCAAAGCAAAGTAAGATCGTTATTTTTATAACAAAGTAGAAAACACGGGTATGAAAGGAAGGAGCACGACGAGAGACAGAAAAATAAGAGTGATGATAATACTCTTGTCAGTAAAAACAACAATAGCAGTGATGCTTCGAGCCATTCACAGCCAGCGTACAGAAAGGCTGACTGGAGATAAAGCAGCGTATTTACATTATTCAGGTATTTGAGCAATCGGAGCAATGACTGAGAGCAGTGTCAACAGATGGGGAATATTAGAGCTGGATCATCTGTGAAGTTGCTCTGTGGCCTTTAGGTCAAACATACAGGACAAAATATCTCCATGCAGAGTTGTAAAGATGGACTATAGGAGCCTAAAAGCTAAACGTGAAGCCTTTGTAGTGATTTCAGGTTTAAGGTGATCAACCATCGCTTAACAGCAACATCGTTTATCCGTTTAGTTTTTGGAATAAAGGTCTAATGCACTGATGCCACCTCTTCTCACCTTTTCTCTTTTTAGAGGCAAATTATGCCAGCAGCATCAGAGTCCCTCGCCCTGGTGACGTGCCAGCTCTTTGGTCAGACCTCTCTGCCCTCCTCTAGCCTCCCTGTCTACCCTGGCAGATCCATGCTGCTGGATGCTCCTCACAGAGCCACGCCCGCACCATGAGCGCCAACGGGCCTGCCCCAGACCCAGCCCCCGCAGCCCCAGAAGCCCCTCCAGCCTCGACCCCTGCTCCCGCTCCGGCCCCAGCCCCAGCCCCGGCGGCACCGCCTGCTCCTCCCGCCCCGCCTGCCCCGACAGCCTCTACCATCCCGGTAGGTGCGTTGGCACAGAAGAAGCGGCAGCAGTATGCCAAAAGCAAGAAGCAGGGCAGCAACGCCAACAGCAGGCCGCCGAGGGCTCTGTTCTGCCTGAACCTCAACAACCCCATACGCAGGGCCTGCATCAGCCTGGTGGAGTGGAAGTATCCTTTACAGTGGCTCTGATCAGTCCTCGTTCAAAGGGCTGAAATGATTAGTTGATTGGTATTATGATGATTATTTAAATCATTTATCAAGCAGAAGCACGAGGTTTGGATGGTTGGTCAGATAAAACAAGACATCATCTTGGTTGCAAGAAACCTTGATGGACAGTTTTCAACCTGCAGCTCATTGATCGGCTGAGAGAATTACGGTTGATCATATTTCTCTATAGTGGCGACGATGATCATTAGTTGGAGCTCTGCTGGTTCACAGCTCCTGAGTGTGTTGGAGGCAATTAGTAGTGACTACCACATGGTGATATATATGCATTCATATATACATAATATGCATTTATATGAAGATGTAAGCAGGTTACTTAAAGGGGGAAAAATACTACATGTCTGCCTTATTTTTGCTGGTTTAGACTTTGGATTCCATTGCTAAATATTGTTGATTTACAGCTGCAGGCTTAAAAGTCAATCAGTTTATTATTCTTAAACCACATGTTGCGGTTGCTGGTAATGTTGGAAAACTAGACAGCTAAACTAGAAGCTAATGTTCCTTCCATTCAGACAAAGTGAACATCAAACCCTGACATGTTGGTGGGACTCGTAGCTAAAGCAGCTCAGCAGCAGGTTACGCTGCCGCCATAAAAGCCATCAGATGCTATAAAGGAGATTGCCAAACTTGAACCGCAGAGATACATTTCATAATCCGTCTTTTCGTGTTTGTTGGGGGAAAAAAAAAAAAAAACCTCCCTGGGGATTTGCTACCAGTACACTTTAGGAAATGCAGCTGTGTCAGGTGTCCCAAATTGTTCTCCGTGGACCTCATGCAACAGTGCAGCACGATTGCAAGTCTTTGTCACACGTCTGTTTTAGTTTCTGCTTTATTACACGTCTTTAAAGAAAAGTTAGGTCGTAAATTTAACTGCTGAGCGTCATGTGGAAGGTGTTGGAGGTGGATGGATGCTTGTTCCTGTGTTTTTATGTTTCATCTTAAATATATGCATCACTTCAATTAAATAAATAAGCATGACTTCTAAGATACAGTTTTATTAATTCTCTCTGGGAGAGGCAATACTCGCACGCATAAATGTTCACCTATTTGTTCAGCTTTGATGTCGTTGATTTAGAGATATTTGTATTTATATCTATTTATATTCTTGGAAATTGCTCTTAAAAACTGTGTCTACATGCACCGAGAGCATCTGAACAGCAGTTTGCTTGTCAGTGAAAACACACTAACGCAGCTTGATTCTCAAATTAAAGAAGAAAACTTGTGAAAGAAGGTGCAAAACTAACATGAATGTAATGTGCAGTTAAACAAGAAGTACTAAACAACAGCGAGGATCCATGAAAAATAAATAAATCCTCCATCATGTATGACTTCGCTCTGCAGAGTCACAGCTGGAGACGTCCTATTTATCCATAATATTTAATCACACGATGCTGTGTCATTTCTCTGTGTGTTTCCCTTAACTTCTGTTTTCAGGCCATTTGATATCTTTATATTAATTGCTATTTTTGCCAACTGTATGGCCTTAGCTGTCTACGTCCCTTTTCCTGAAGATGATTCCAACTCCACCAACCACGACCTGGTGAGTAGTACAACATACACTGTCATCAGTTGATTTGTTTGATGCCTGTTGTGCTCTGAGTTCTCATTTTGACTATCTGAGACTTTCAAAGTCTCTCGTGGCCTAGCTTGAATTAAGTGTTGTTATCTGTAAAATGAATAGTAGAATGTAAAAAGCAAGATTTTAACTGTGTTTGTTAAAAAAAAAAGAAAAGCAAAGGGAAGCTTATCTCCTCTAGTGCCTGTTTTCTTGTTGGCTCGTTCTCGTTTATGGCTAAATTGTTTTACAGTACATTGCAAAATGCGTTGCCGCTTCATAATTCTCTTACAGTTGGTAAAGTTTGATTGTATCACCCCTCTGAGATTAAGATATAGCCACGGAGCCGCTGCACTCTTCACTGTTTTATTATGCAGATTTGAAGTATCTGCTGTGCCGACATAGAGAAACACTCTGGCGGTGCTTTATCATGTCATGGTTTTACTGTACACTGGTTTTATTCGGCTTTCTATTTATAGATTTTTTTTCCCGTCATTGCACCACTCTGTGCACCTTGTGCATTTATGTCTGTGTGATGAATTATGGGTGATGTAGTGTTGTAAGCATTGTTCCACAGCTGAGGATAAGTGCACTCTCCAAAAGCCAGACAGACTCGCGGAACGTGGCGCTGGCGTGAACAGAATTTCGCTGTAGCGTTCAATGATTCATGAGCAGCGTATACAGTGTGCAGACATTTGAAAGCTTCATTTAAGAGCCGGAGCATGTTGGAGAAAAGGTTACCAGGCTGCTGTAACTGATGGCAGGAGCGCTCCTCTGTCTCAGACACCGCTGAACCCGCTGTGCAAGATAAGCTTTGGTTGACGGTGTGTCTGGTGTACTTTAGCGAAGTAAAGGTGTACTACTTCCCGGCTTGACCTCCTGGAGGGTGACCTCGGGGTGTTTGTTTACACAGTACTGGTGCATCAGAGGAAAGTGGGCCATCTGGGACAGTACAGTGTCTGCTACAGTAGTGTGTACATTAGCTTGTCAAGTTTAGTTTGGAATAAAGTTTGAAGGAGGTCGATTGTCCTGATGGTGACAAGGAGAGGAAATGCTCACACTTGCATAAGAAACACAAGAGATACAAAAAATGCTCTGAGGCTGGTTGACTTCAGCCAAACATCTGTGCATTTCACATCTGAATGAGAACATTTATTCTGCCTCACAATAAAGGAGATGTATGAAAGCACTATGTGAAAAACAATATGTATGTTTACAGGCAGATGTGCTGATTTTAAAGTGGGAAACAAGGATCACTGGCACCGATCTGTCACCTCATCTTTGGTCTCAGAATCAGAGCCAGAGGGGAAACAGTCAGCGTCGTGAATTTGTACTTTGGTTGTTCTTCTACCTTTTCTATATTGTAATGTTGCTACAGGGCAAAGGTTGTACCACAGAACGTACTGTAGATGTGAGGTTTGTCTGAGTGTTAAGAGACATTCAGTGGAATCGTTGCTCTGTTGTGTTTTAGAGCCAAACGGTGACAGAAGCCTCTAACAAATATGTGCACAGCTTCAGACTGCTAATAAAACATGTGTGTATGCTGTTAACAGGTGTTTAGCTGTTTCATACCAGCAACTTTCCGTCCTGCCTCTAAATCTCTGGACTTTATATTTGCACCGTAAGCAATGTTCATAAATTCAGAGCGTTTTTCAGAATCTACACTGGCAGAGAGGCAGGCCTAGAAGTGTTTTAATACCGACTCTGATGAATGACGCTGGCATCAGCTGTGGTTTTTAGGAAGGAAGCTACCTTCTGCGTGTCGTCTCAGCCCCTTTAAGCAAAGGGCTCTAAGTGGAAGCATAATTTGGCACTTTTTGATGACGCCTTCATTGTGCCTGTTGTCTGAAGCTGCTATGGCGCTGCTGTGTGGTATTTGTCACTCTGCTAATGGCCCTGGTGTAGCTCTGCTCTAAAAGTGTGTGTCAGATCGGATTTATGGATGCACCCATTAAGAATTAACTAAAAAGCTAGCTGCCTGTCACTGAACAGGATCATTGATGCGGCTTGCATGCTTCATGAACAAGGTCATTGAGAAGAGATGAGAGGACAAGCTGACGAGTAGATATGAGAAGATTTATTTTATATTGGCTTCCTTTCAGTAATCCTTACAGTCAGGACAATGCGTAGCTGCCTTCTTTAACCACACTTGGTGTTTTTTGGCTACAGGCTGCTTTACCTTGCACAGAACTTTGGATTAATTCTGCAGCGTCGACATTAAATCAGAGGGCGAATAATGCAATCTCTCCCTTTTGCAGCAGCGGTGGAACAATAGAAATCTTTATCGGGCAGGTGTGCCAGCTTGGCCTTAGTTGTTCTACAGAACTCTTGCTGTAGTCGCAGGAGGCGCGCTGGACAGAAAAACGCTGAGCTGGTCCTGCTATAGCAGCCGGCAGGGAAGGCAGTAGTGAAGATTGCCATTTCACACTACTATGCTCTGCAGCCTCACAGGTGGACTGAGGACTGATATGAAACCTGAGTTGCAGTGCTGAGAGGCCTAATGTGTAAAGCACGGATCAAATTATATCACAAGGCTGCTAAGCCATGCAGGTTTTTACTCAGCGATACATTCAAATGCGGTGTAGCTTTCAGCAGACAGACACTGAAACCCTGCAGTAGGCCGACTTCTGGATCTGTGGACGCTTTGTTTAGTGCATTGTGACTTAATGCTCATTGTCTGTTATTATTAAATCACAGGGTAAAGTACTGAATCTGTTTTGGTCATGCTACGCTGTGCACACAGAGTCCAGGTGCTGCAGAGCTGCTTGAGTTAGAACATTGCATTGCTGCAAAGTCACAGAGGCCTTAATAGCCTGAGTCTGCCCGTCTTGTTAGTAAGGCTTGGTTAAATGCAGCAGCTCATTATAAATAGAAAGCAATTTCCTCCTCAGGCGGAACAGAGGGCAAAAGATTGGGGTCTTGCTACCACCAGGAGGCACAAGTGAGTAACAAGATGTAGCCAGCACACAAATACACACATGCACGCGTGCAACAAGACAACAAACCCTGTCAGGGACTCATAGTCATATTTTCTGCCTTCTCTTGCGTCGCGCTCTCCTTTGCTGCTCCTCCTTTGTTTAGTCATTTCACTGCAATAGTAAGAAGAGCAGCACACAGAGCGTCCTGCACGTGACTGTGTCTCCTCTACACCCAGCTTGTCTAGGGGACAGACAAATAGTCTCCAACCCTATTGCCTTTGCTTTAAGGTCATTTCTGACTTATCTATCTGAGACTCAACACCCCAGGCAGCTCCTGCTGAAGGTAGCTGAGTAAAACAATGACCTTTTCATGGTGAATATGATTCATACATCTCATCCTTCGTAAGGCAACATGCAGAGAATTGCGTCTGGTATCAGGTAGTGTCCGTGCCCGTATCACTGTTATTGCATAACTGTGGAGCCGCAGAGCTATTTATTTTACTGGGGACAAAAGGACACAAACATGTAAAGACTGAAATGTCCATGAACAAACCAACACAGAGGTCATTTGGATTCCAGCAGAGAGCTCACAGTTTGGATCAGTCTCACATTTGATGCTGCTGAAACTGAGGATGTCAGTTTTTTTTTCCTTTTTAAATAATAGATCATTTTTCTGTATTTCTAATAAATGAACGATTGAAAAACATGCTCTATCTCTGTGGCTTCACAGAGAAAGACAGACTGACCACATACGGGGCTGGTGCCTCCTATTGTGAAGCCATTATGGCAAAATCGTTTCCTTTGATGCTGATATTTGAGCTACAACAAGATCAGAAGATGTACTGAATTTGCTGTGATATGTTCAACTGTCCTGCTTGTTTAAGATTAACAAGGGAGATGTTCTTTCAGTAATGATAGTTACACGCTTGTCATCGCCCAGTAATGAAATATAATATTGCTGTGTTTGTGCTATGACACACAGTCAGACAGCAGAGATCATGTAGCAGCTTCTGTTACTGACATGATAAAGGCTGTGTAGAAATAAGCGACATTAATTACATTTTTTCTCCTATATGCAGACAATATTAGGACCTTTTTAACTTTCTCTCTTTTCATGAAAGCATGCACTAATAGGTTATAAATCATACACTTGTGTTGGTTATTGTTGTGTGGCAAGATTTATAATTCAAAGATAGAAAATAAAACTATTGTATAAATTATGCTGACCGTACAGTTCATACCATGTGATGCCAGCAGGTACCAGAGGTCTATAGTTTCTCAGCTCTTAAAGTTTACATCAACCATCAGACATGCTTCAGTGAACCGTCACAACAACATGCTCCAAGACAGCAAAGACAAACTTAAAGTGAAGCTAATATACGTTTTACATACGACTCGGTTATAGGCGTGAAATGCGCACAGTGTGTACGAGGAAATGAGCAACATGAAGAAGTCGTTTTTGATGCAAATACAGACCAACAACTCTCTCACGGTCCCAAACTCGTGACCCGAAGCCAATGCCTTTCCACTGATCACAGCCATCAAGCACTTCAGCGTGACAACAATCTACCGAGAGGCAGCCACTGGATCTTGTCAAACAAAATCGAAGTTTTATTTTTTCTTCTTAGCTGACATCTGATATAATTATTGATGCTTCCTCATTATATCAACCTCGTTCCAATGCTACAGATGCTGCAGATATTCTCTTTATAATTGCACAGCAAGATTAGAAATGTGTGTAAATGCAAACCTCCCAACACATCAGTCTCTTGCATTAAAGCGCCATGTTTTGCCTCTGCCTGACAGTTATTCATGGACAAAGCAGGATAATTAAAGCATATTAAACATAGTAAAACATGACTCATGTGTCTGTCTTCTGCTGCCCTGCTTTAGACATCAGCATAATGTATGTATGTGGTGCCCTTCTCGCTCTGTGCCAACAACAACAACAACAAGCCTCAGTAGCTTATTAAAAAAATTTCTGGCCAACGTGTGCCCTTAAACAATACCTCGTTAAGAGCAAATCGCCAATTAAACATCAAAAACTGTGCCTGTTTGATCTAATCT